CCACACCACACTACCGTACTGTGTAATGGTGATGTACTAGACTCCTAATTCTGCATTCAGTTATGCCAGTTTTGTAGCTTGAAATTGGCCGTGGTAGAAGTATTTACACCATTGATACATATATGATATAAACCAGACCTTATATATTAGACAGCCAGACTTAGGTCTTTTCATAGACTACATCTCATGTGAACTAACGATTTTCAAATCATTCTCATCCCTTTCCTTCTCTTTTTGCCTAACCCTTTTCCCTGTGGAGTTGANTGTTGCTTGAGTCTGAATTTCATAGCACCCCCTCTTCTACCAAATATACCTTTCCTGTGGGCCTGGAATGCCCCAATTGATGTTTGTGATAAAAGGTTTAAGGTGCCTTTAGATCTGAGCCTCTTCTCTTTACTAGGAAGCCCCCAAAAAGATGCCACAGGGCAAGATGTTACAATATTTTATGTAGATCGACTTGGCTACTATCCTCATATAGATATAACGACAGGCAAAAGTGTGCATGGAGGAATCCCCCAGAGTGGGTCATTAAAAGACCATTTGGAGAAAGCTAAAAAAGACATTGCCTATTACTTGCCAACAGACAAGGCGGGCTTAGCTATCATTGACTGGGAAGAATGGAGGCCCACCTGGATAAGAAACTGGGCACCTAAAGATATTTACAGGAATCGGTCTATTGAGTTGGTTCAGCAACAAAATGTAAGCCTTAATGCCAAAGATGCTGCCACGGTAGCCAAAGAAGAGTTTGAAAAGGCAGGAAAGACTTTCATGCAAGAGACTTTAAAACTGGGAAAATTACTTCGACCAAATCACTTATGGGGTTATTATCTTTTTCCTGATTGTTACAACCATCATTATAATAAACCCGGTTACAATGGAAATTGCCACGATATCGAAAAGAGTAGAAATGACGATCTCGAATGGCTGTGGAAGGAAAGCACTGCCCTTTTCCCATCCGTCTATTTCAACAGCATCTCATCTGTTCGAGGAGCTGCACTCTTTGTCCGTAACCGTGTTCA